ATGATCAATCTTGGCTTTCTCACTCCCGTAGTTAGGATGAGTATGTAGATTCTACCTCTCATCCCACTTATCACTCTGTCATCGGCATTTGGAGGCTATTGATTCTCTTCGTCGACAAGCAGTTCTCAGTGCTGATGAAGTCCACTCCCCGGTATCACCTATACCAGCTCTGCCTCGGCCGACATTGGGTCTTCTTCCCATGGATATTCCCCCTAAGGAGGTACTTTCCCAGGCGGACCCTGCAATTTTGTGGGATTTGTATATTGTACAGGCTATAGGTGCACCTTATGGATTTGTTGTATCCCCTGGTTCTAGGGCTCCTTCTCGGACTTTTTAAGTCCATATCTCTCTGGCTCTTTTTCTATCATGCCTATCATCTAGCTCTTTGAGGTTTTCATGAAGAAGAAGGGTCGTGGTAGACCTAGAAAAGGGGAGGGGGTTCACGGAGTGCATCGGGTAAACCTAGTGTGAAACACAAGCACTCAGAGGTGGTGGGTTTAGGTGATGATTTATTGGTGCCTACAAAGGATTGCGTTGCTCCTAAATGTTTATGTAGTGGCGATCATTCTGATATGGCCAAGGGGACTGCTCTAGTGGGATCTCTTGGGATCCACCTTAGTGTGCAGCTAAAGTGTTCGTGGGCTTGGCGTAAGGCAGATACTTTTGCCCTGAAGTCCTCTTTTTTTTCTTCAGTTTAAGTGGCCAATGTAGGTTTTTTGATTATGTGGTGATTTTCTTCTGAGGAGCTTCTTCGTTTTTGCTATCCTTTTCCTTTGTTTTTTGCTCCTTTACATCTCGTCTTTGCTCTGAACCGCCGGAAGAATTTTGAAGTTTATTAGGATTTGAGTTGAGTTGGGGTGTTTTTCGGGGGCTTTGTTTTTTCGTGTTTGTGATCTCCCTCTGTGTTTCTCTTGGGGTTTTTCCATTGGTGTGTTTTTTGCAGTTTGTTGGCGGTCGAAGGACTATGAGTTTCTCATAGAAGGCTTCTTTTGACATTTGGGTTGTGGTGCAGTTCTCTTTGTAGGTCTACTGTGTTGGTGATTAGTTAGGTTTTCTGCTCTTGTTTTGGTCTTTTGTGGTCTGGGTTGGAGTCTCTTGTTAGTCCTTGATATGTGTGGTACTCTTTCCTAACATGGGATTTGTCCCACGTGGTTTTCTTAGGAAGGTTTTAATGAGGTTACTATATTCATGTGAGTCTTTGTATGCCGTTTTTGCTTATGAATGCGATTCTCTTCTTAAAAAAGGGTAATAGTGTCGTTTTAGATAAAAGTTTTATTAATGGTTAAGTTTTCTAAACGACAAGTCCATGGGCTATGAGACAAGGAAAGTGATCTAAAGAAGTTAGATCCATAAGATCCTTCCTCTCAAGCTCATACCCTAAAGTATTCCTAGTCATAGGATCGTACAATTGGGCATTGACGATCCATAAAGACCGGCATACCCTATATCTATTGAATTGGGAGTGTGACTGGTCTCAATTCATTTGTGTACGGGCACTAAGATAAGTGTATAGGTGCTCATTAGAAAATGAGTACACTGAATGCGATCAATCGAGAAATCTTGTATAGAAGTTTTATCCACATGTCAAACAAGATTTCTATAGTTGTAATAATGCAAAGTTAGTCCTTAGACTCGAGGCACCATGCTTGTCTTATAAAAGAGTCTTGGATCTCTAATCATATTGAATAGTCAATTTCTTTCAAGGGCATGACTCCAAGGTGTGGTCGGGGCTCTCGATTAATTCATAGAAGCATGTGGGTGTACACCAAGGAATCTCGACTTCTACTAAAGGGAGGGAATACTCTAGGATATGATCCGAGAATCTTTGCCTAGAGTATGAGACTTGATTGAGAAAGGAAGTTTCTAATCATGCCCAGTTGAATCGTGGAAGAAGAGAGAGTTCACATTAATGGTTTGACATGAATTATGTGTCCTACTAATTTGAACAAGAATATTGTAAAAGAGAAGGACCGTATTGCATTGTAATTCCAATTGAATGGGTTCTTCGACACATTGTATTTTGGCGAGGGTGATCATGGCACGTGGTTTTCTAGCTCGTTAACCATGATTTTGTGGAAGCCCTGAGGATATTCCGTAATTGGATCCTCACATAAGGGAGAATAAAAAAAGAGTTTTGATTCATAGTCCATAAAGAAGAGTTCACGTATCGCCCACTGCCTCGCCATTTAGAACCAAATATTGCACACCGAGTAAACCGCTCTTTGGATAAGTAATTAGGATGATGATTAAATCAACGACTAAGTGGGTTAGTTGATTGGATCAAGATTAATTAAAAAGTTAATTAATCACATTGATTTAATGAGATGTGAAATGAGCTTAAAATAGAAACCGAGTTCCAAGGCCTATTGGGCTTCCAAAGTTAAGTTGTATGAGACAACTTAAAAGGAGAAGCCCAAGTGGCCCAACACATAGAGGTGCCAATCCATTGCATGTGGGCATTGGATCTTGACCCAATTCAAGCCAAATAGGTCATAAGATGACCCATCACCTTAAGTCCCTAGGCTATTTAAGCCGAAGTATGACTTAGGGTTACTTAGGGTTACTTAGGGTTCATCTTTGTAAGAGGCGAAAGGTAGAGAGAAGAATAAAACTCTCTCTTTGCACAAAGAGGCTGACCACACTAGAGAGAGGCTCCTAGCACACACTCCTATCTCTTGTGTTATCATCCATCAAAGGAGATCTTTGGTATGGTGAAGTTGGAGGTTGCATCCTTTGTGCAATTTGGTGAGAGCTCATCCAAAGGAAGATTTGGAACTCAAGCATCCCAGGCTTAAGATTGGTCTTCAAGGTTATGAAAATCTTTCCTCTCGTTATTACATTTTTGAAATATAGTCTTGAGCATACCAACACTTTGAATCAAAAGATCCATGGAAGAGGTTTAGGTTTAAGCTATAAAATGAATCCTTTGCTTTTGTTGCTTCTCTTAAAATTTTGTGTGTTAGTGGCTTAACCAACCTTAGAAAATCTAAATCATCCTTCACACTATACTACCATATGTCTTATCCTCCTAGAGAGATTATAAGGGATGCTTAATGAACCAGATTTTTTTACAACCTTTCATGCCTTCAGATCGTCATGAGTATATTTATGCTTCTGAATCATTGAGTGCCATTTTGTATGGATTTGAACAACTAATTTTTATTATGTTATTAGTACTATGCTTTATATTTAGACCTGTACTATTTGAGATGAATTTGGTTTTCTCATTTAAGATGGAATTAGAATTTTGTTGATGAGTACTTATATATGATATTTGATTTTTTGCTTTAATATTTGTATTTTAATTCATTATAATAGTAATGAAGTGCATCAAATATATATATATATATATATATATTAGTTTTATATTTTAAATGTTTATTAAGGGCATTTGTAAAATAATTATAGAAATCAATAGAGGCGTAAATTACAACCCCTACATTTAATATATATATTTATTTACTAATAATCAGGGAGAAGCAAAATGAAGTGCCCCTACAGATTTCAAAATCATTTGGGGCGAAAAACAATAAGCCTCTATTATTTTTTCCTAGTTCAGCATGCTTACGTGTCAGCATATTTATTAGAGGTGGATCTACAAATACAAACACCCAATGTCTTTTTAGAGGTGCAACTTTTTGGGGCTCATCATAAATTTGCTCTTACATTTGCCCCTAATAGAGTATTTAGAGGCCTATATTATACGCCCCTGCAACTCATATTTTTGGTAGTGACAATTTGTTAGAAGATAAAAAAAAACTCTTATGTACGAACTAAAGTGGGCACCATAATTATCTAAACCGCAACAAACCTAATGTTACCAAATCTCCTTTTTTAATTTTTTTTTTAATTTTTTATATATAATTGGGAAACAACCTCAAAGTAGGAATTCCTACTTTTTAGTTTGATTATTCTACTTCCTCGACAATCTTCCTCGACAAAATAGTGAGCATTCTAAGTACAACTATCACTTTAGTCTTATTATTTGATGGAGTTATTTTCGTTTGTGTGAACATAATTCTCTGAAGTCCTACTTCACAATATTAATTATTTTTCTTTTGAGAACTTTGTGAGGGTTTTGTAGGTTTTGATCACCATGGCTTTTACCCGAGCCTGAAAAGTTGTTTGTAGCTAGACTACCAAAAACGATAAATGAAACCAACATGAAAGAACACTTCAACAAATATGGGGAAGTAAAAGGATTGTGTGGTTATTGTGGACATAATTACTCGTAATCGAAGAAGGTTTTCGCTTTGTTACCTTCACTAACCCATTCGTGATTAAGAAAGTATTATAAGCACAACACTACATCTTCGGTACGAAGGTTGGTTTTAATTTGCATCTCTTTTTTTTTTTTGGTATTTAATTTATACACCATAGGTGTTGTTTGAATTTTTTTGAGTCATTGACACTAAAAAAAGTTTACATCGAACTTATTATAAAATTTTGATTAATTTTGACTCGTAATAGGGATGCATTGAACGGAAGGTTTTACATGTCTTTGTTTGTTGATATTATTGAAGAATTTTATTATAATTGTTTTTTTTTAATAATCAACTAGTTTTCTTAAACTTACATTAATTTTTGTGTTCATTTAAAATTCTTGGTTTGACTTATTTTTAATTTGGGTAGGGTATTCCAAAGTATGGTTATGAGGTATATGTGAAATTTGCTTTACCAAACGGAAAGAAACCCCAAAGCCAAGAGGACAAACATGTTGAAGCTGAAGCATATTTCAAGACCAAGAAAATTTTGTGAGAGGTTTACCACATAATCTGACACAAGAAGAATTCAAGAGATAATTGGAGAAGTTGGGCACAATCTCATATAGGGTTATAATATATAGAAATTTAGTGAAATACCCATTCCTAGACATAAAACTATAAAAATACCCTATACTATTTAATGTATATAAACACACCCAAAATAAACCCAAAAATCGACAGCTGTATATTTTTTAATTTAATTATTAAGATGAAATACTTTTATTACCCTTTTAACATAAAATTGGAGTTCTAATCAACACCAGATCAGAACTCATTTCACGACCTCCAGTCTCTCATCTTCATCTTCAACCCCAATTTTCAATTTTTGTTCATCCAGCTCAGTTTTTGTTCAACCTCATCATTCTAAGCTTCGTCGGAGGGCTCGCTTGGACCACCGACAATGATGCGCTGGAGAGGGCCTTTTCTCCGTTTGGTGAGATCATCGAATTGAAGGGCCGTTTGACGCAGGTTCTCTCTCTGCGACTTGATCTTCTGTTTCTCTATGTTACTTGATCTTTCTCTCCCAAAGATTGAAGATCGATCGATTCCTTTTCATTTTTGTTTATTATTGTGTATTTGTTTGATTATACTCCGGCGTTTTGGTTTTGATGGACGGATCTGATTAGATTTGGTTTCTTTTTGTGTTTCCAGATCATCAACGACCGTGAGACCGGGAGATCCAGGGCCTTCAGCTTCGGCTTCGTCACCTTCAGCAACGAGAAGGCCATGAGGGACGCGATCGAAGGCATGAACGACCAGAACCTCGACGGTCGTAACATCACCATCAACGAGGCCCAGTCTTGTGGAAGCAGCGGTGGTGGTAACGGAGGTTACAGCTTGTGTTTTTTCTTTTTCTCTATCTCTGGTTTAAATGTGGAAAATGGATATATAAAAAAATAATTTGTAGGTGTTTTCTGAATTTTAGTTTGCTATCTGGTGTTGGTTGATTTTGAATTGGTCATATGTGTTGGTAGAAAATTCATGCATTGTTGTCTCTCATCTGTAGTTGTTGTTCAGTTTAATCCTTGAAGGAGCTTGTACCCAAGTGTGTGAGGCTAGCTCACTTGTTTCATGTTTGATGTAGTAGCACTAGTCATTTTGATTTGGCTGTAAGATTTAGCTATAAGGAATTGTTTTTTGCGTTTTGAAACCAAAACAATTTCTCATTTGAAGCAATAAGCTAGAATCTGTTATACACATGAACTTATTTGATGACTGCAAAGACCTATATTAATTTCTTGGATGATCAAATTGACTATTTTCGGTATGATATCCTGGAAGTTTGAATTTTACATATATATATATATATATTCCACTAGAGGGCTTTCATATTGTCTGACTTGTTCTCTCAATGTACTTACAAACACAATATTACCTTTCCGTTTGTGGTGCCTTGTATGTGATGGCTTGAACCTTACTATTCCTAATTTTCTAACTGGTTGAGGATATGTTTGCTCTGCTTGATTATCTCCATATTTCACACATATGCTAGTTTCATATTTCATAGTCTTCCATATCTACAACAAACGTTTGTCATAAATGAGAAGCTGACATAGCAATGATGTAATTTGCATTATCATATACGCATACTTTCTCCGTCTCTTTCTCTATCGATATATATTCCCCTTATTTAAGTCAGCATATATTATATCT